GTGAGCCGGTGCGACGGGGACGGGCGGCGTCACCCCAGGGCCACCCCTTCGCTCTCCCCGGTCCTTCCTCCTGCAGCTGGGACATCTCACTTGCGGTCTCTCCCCGCAAGTTCTGGAGCTGGATCTGTCCTTCCCAGTGGCCCCGCTCGGCGGCCAGCTCCGTCCCGTTTTCCCCATCACTGGGTACAAAGAGCTCCAGGACCGGCCAGCGGCGCTGGGACGGGGCCGAGGCGGCTGTGCCCGCACAGACCCGCACGCTTCCCGCACCCGCAGCAGCTCCGAGCCTCTGCCGTTCCCGGAGCCGGCGAGTGCTTTGCTCCGGCTGCTGCTCCCGGGCTGCTGCACAGGGGACGGTGCCCAAAGTTTCCTTCCTAGCAGCAGGAAAAGCTTTTTTAATAGAGGAAAGCAGCGCGGCGGCCTCGCAGTGCTCATGCGTGGCTGGCGGCGCGGCTCGGCGCTCCCAGCCGATGCCTGTGTCCCTGCCCTTTATCTTTCCCAGCCAGCGCCGGATTTCCAGGGCCGGGGACGCGGTGCTGGGGTACAGCGGCGGCGGCGGACACGGCAGCAGCATCTCTTGTGCCTCGGGCTGGGGATACGCCGGAATCCTGCGCTGCGGGATGCCTGGCCCCGACGCTGGAGCAGGGAGAGCTCCTTTTGCCGAGCTTGCCGTTAATTAATGGCAGAAGGAGCTGACGGGGCGGCTCGGCAGCGCTCAGGAAGGGGTTCAACCCCGGAGCTGGCAGTTCTGCACGGATACCCCCTGCCCAGAGCAGGCAGCCCCGGCCGCTGCCGCGTCTGAAGTCGCTGGGTGAGGGCGGCACCAAAGTTTCGCCAGGTTTTGCTCTTGTTTGACAGTGATTTCAATAATAATGCTGGAGGGTCCTGTGGCAGCAGGAGTCCCGAGGAGCTGAGCATCCCCTGGGGAGGGGCGGAGTGGGGGGCGGCATGTAAATCCAGGAGATTGTGAAGACTTGGTAAGAAAAAAAAAAAAATAACCGGCTGAATAAAATGCGAAATCGTGCTCCTGGATTTGCTCTCCGCGGCTTTTTGCCCCCGTGGAATTAGCAGGCGTCTGGAGAGGAGGTCACGGCGCTGTGCATCAGGGCAGGCGTGGGCCTAATTTATAATTTTTCCCTAATTTGTTTTTTTCTTAAGAGAAAAATTCCTTTATTTGGCAACTCCTGCATGAATCAAGTTAGCATTTCGCAGCTATTTAACACCTGGTTACGGCGTCTGCGGCAGAACCGCTGATACCCCAGCTCGGCACCCGCTCCGCGTAGCGGGATCTGCCCCTTCCCGCCGGCGGGGACCAGCCGGATTTATTTTCCCTCCGTTCCTGGCAGGGATTTAAGGCAGGAGGTGCTTTGCGTGACTGAGTCGGGGGTTTCTCCCGGCCCTGCCCGGCGGAATGAACCCCCAGCTCTCCCCCCAGCTCTCCCCCAGCGCCGCCCCTCGCCCCGTCCAGCTGCCATTACGGTCGGGTGGGAATCGACTCAAGTCCTTAAACCCCAAGAGTTAATCAAAGTGCTTTGAATATGTAAATGCTGAGTATTGTTTATCATTGCCTAGAGCTGATGCAGCAGTTTTCCTGCTCAAAGCCCCGTTCAGATGGGAGCTCATGAAAATTCACAACAGCCTCGCAAATAGGTGACGGGGATTATTACCCCCGTCTTCCAAATGAGCAAAGGGAGGAAGAGCAGCGGAGCGATGCTCCCCGTGGCAGCGGGGATCGGCGATGGAGGTCAGTGGTGGTCCATCCCGATGGGTGTACATCAGCTCTTGCTGCGTTTCCTCTGGCCAAGCATTTGCCCTGGGCTGCCTGGGCTGCAGACGGTGCTGGCGATGCAGCCCTCCATGGTCGGGTGTGACACTCTCTTAAATATCCACCGTGTTGGCACCAGGCAGGGAATTCCAGGCAGGCAACACACAATTTTCCATGAGGTTCTTCGGCAAGACCTCCAGCAATGAGTGCTCTGTCAATTAATACAATTAATGAGCTTGACGAGGATCTGTGGGAGTGCAGGGGAGCGAGGGCAAGAGAGAGGAGTCTGTGTGCCATGGGAAGGGGCAAATCGGTCCGTGGGTCTCGACAGGACTCCCCGGGCACAGACATCCCTGCCTGTGCAGGCAGGGGGATGCCAGGATGGGGAGAAGGCTCTCCCATCACTGAGCTCCTCAGGTAAGGGCACTCCAGAGGGGAGCATGGGGCTGGAGGCCCCAGCGCACTCCAAACCCATCCACGCCCCAAGAGCTCATCCCACGGTGCTTCCCACCACATTCCTGGGGGTCAACCTGTTGACACCAATGCCTGGAAGAGCTTTTGCCCTCAGCCCGAGCTGAGTGCCTCTGCATCCAAGGGGATGCCCCAGTTTTGGGTTCCTCTTGTGCAGGGCAGCTGACCCTGGAGGTCCAGGGCAGCCTCCAGCCTCGTGAGCCGTGCCTGCGGCAGAGCTGCCAACCTCAGGGGAGGCTGGGGGACAGCTGGGAGCAGGACGTGTCTCAGCCAGCCAAATTTAATCCTCCTACGTTAGCAAGGCTTAAAATAGGCTCCCTGCAGCATCGATGAGGGTGGTGGAGTTGGCCTACTCCAGCCCTCCCAAGTATTTTGGGGAAGCAGGGATGGCTGTTTAGCAGACAAGCACAGCTGGGAGGAACTGAGCTGTGCTGTCAGGGCCTCCTTTGCTGATGCCATTCCAGGAATTAACACACCTTGTGGTACCCTCACCTCTCTAACCTCCCACTGCCACCTCTCAGGGTGACACCTTCTTCCTTGCCATTCCTCCTCAGCCCTTTCCTGCTCTCTCCCATGGACATTCATTTTCCCCTGCACCTCATGGAAATGATCCCTTTTGGTTAAGCCCAGCTTATGGTCTGGTCTTGACCCCCTCTTCCCTCAGCTGCCCAGAGGAGATGCCATCCTGAGAAGTGGTTGGCCAGGACATGGCCTGGGCAGAAAGCCATGGAGGAGCCCTTGGAGCAGGGCAGGTGTGGTGACACACTTGAGGAGACATGCTGGGAACTCTGGGACACAAAGGTATCGTGCAGTGGTCATCTTGTTTCCATGTCCCAGGTATGCTGGCTGTCTCCTCAGTGCTGGATGCCCCCTGGCCAGGGGCACCCAGGTTTCACTGCCTTGGGCAGGTCCCAGCAGCTCCCTGGGCAGGGCAGGATGGTGGCTCCAGGAGAAACAGTTCCTCCTGTACCTCACCCCCAGGGCCCCACCCCGGGCTGGGGGATGCAGGGGCTTGGTCTGTGTGTTGGTGGCTCCTGAGGACCAAGCTTTGGTGGGGTTTGGAGGCTCCTGGGCAAACGCTGCTCCTGATCCAGCAGTGCCTTTGGCAGTGCCCGTGGTCATTGGTGCAGCTCAGTCACTGGCGCTTCATCCACCCCACAGGCTCTGCCTTCGTCCTGCTGGCTCCCTGCCACAACACCGGCTCTCCATCCCCTCCTGTCCCGAGGCACGGCTCCCCTCGAGCTCTGCCTCACCCCGTGCCTGCCTTCCCATGGCACCTGGGGGTTTACGAAGCTGTTTTCCCTTTTCTCCTTCCTCTGTGCAGCCTCTCCGTGGGCCCACGCACCAGCTGGGCCCCCCACCATGCTACTCCCACCCGCCCTGCTGTGCTGCCTGATGCCTTCCTGCCTTCACCTGGTGGGGCCGGGCTCTGCACGGGAAGGCAGCGAGCACAAAAGAGGTGGGAGAAGCCTCATGTCCCTTTGGGATCCCTCCAGAACTGGTCTTCACCTCCCTGCTGGAGCCCTGAGTGAGCTGCCCATCTTCCCCACCAGAACCATCCTGTGAGCACCCCCTCAGGGAATCCTCTGGAATGAACTCCCCTTGGCAGGAGCAAAACTTCCTGGGGAAAGAGTGCAGAGACAAATTCCTGTGTTCTCCTGGGCTTTGCCAAGCTCCCTGAGCTGGGAGCACCACAGGGTTGCACCGAGGCAGCAGACACCCCAGTGTTCACCACTTTGCTTTTTCCTCCATGTCCCCAAAGGGTCCCCAAGGACCCTTTAGGACCCCTCTAGGCTGTTGGAATCCTTACTCACCTGCAGTCCAACTACACCCGGTCCCACCTGCAACCATCCCTGCCAGCACAACACAGTCCTGTGGGCACTGCTCCGTCTGCCCAGGTCCCCGTGTCACTGCTGGGGCTCTAAAAGAAAACAAAACCCCCAGCAAAGCCCTGGTTGTGCCTCTCTGTGTGGAGGAAGGGTTTTATCCTGAAGAAGAGGTGGCACATCCGTTGGCTGATCTGGCAGGGCTGCCCATCCTCAGTGGTGACCATTCCTCCGTCCTTGCTCCAGCCCCGAGGGCTCCCACAGCTGCACTCATGGACCATTGTCCTGCTTCTCGTACATCTGGCAGCTCTTGAGAGCCAGTGAGGGTGGAAAAGGAGTCTGCAGGGGACAGAGGGAGTTGGTGAGGGAAGCTAAAGCATACAGGAACTCCCTGAAACATGGAAGAAACGGAAAAGGGAAGAGTGTCAAAGAATAGGCGATGAGAGGCATTAGTGCATTGCTAAGGAGAATGGTAGAAATTCCCATTTGTGCTCAGAAGCCCACTGGGACACAACAGCTGTTGAGCTGCTGTCCCGAGACAATCCCAAAACATCAGCTTTGCCATCATCTGGACATGGGTACCAGCAGCAGCCACTCAGCTGGAGGCACACATGGAGCATTGGATGCTTGGAGGCACCCGGGAACCCGCAGCACCCTGGGGGCACGGGAAAAGAGGAGCATTTCACATTTCACAGGTATTTTCAAGGAGGGTGTGGGACACCTTTGCTCAGGACCTGGATAAATAGAAAACAGGAAGGGGAATGGGGTGCCCTGACTGAGCACGAGGGGCAGAGAGCAGCATGGTTTGTGCCAGACCAAAAACACCAACTGGGTCTTGTGCGATGCCGAGGAAGTCCCGCTGTGCCAGGGCTGGAGCTCGGGCTGGCAGCAGGAAGGCGGCTGCCAGGACGGGCTTCCGCAAGACTTCCTCTCCCGTGGCCCTTCGTTAGGGAATTAGGACGTAAGGAGAGAAGGCAGCAGGGAGGAAACGAGCCCGGGGAGCCGCCGCCGGGGGAGTTTGGGGGCTCTGCCCTGGCCCTGCCTGCTCTCGGTAGGGAGGGGAGGAAGGGCAGGCTCATGGCCTCGGGGAGGCTGAGCTCACGGGCGCCTGGAGCTGCCCAGGGTGCCCAGCCAGGGGACAGCCAGGGCACCCCACGAGCCAGGCCAGCAGGCTGGTGCTGGGGAAAGGGAGAGAGCGTGGAGCTGGGGAGCAGCGCAGCAGCGGGAGCAGTGGAGCAGTGGGAACAGTGGGAGCAGTGGGGTCAGTGGGAGCAGTGGGGTCAGTGGAGCAGTGGGAGCAATGGGAGCAGTGAAGCAGTGGGATCAGTGGGAGCAGTGGGAGCAGTGGGGTCAATGGGAGCAGTGGGATCAATGGGAGCAGTGGGATCAGTGGGAGCAGTGGGAGCAGTGGGGTCAGTGGAGCAGTGGGATCAATGGGAGCAGTGGGAGCAGTGGGATCAATGGGATCAGTGGGAGCAATGGGAGCAGTGGAAGCAGTGGGATCAATGGGAGCAGTGGGATCAGTGGGAGCAGTGGCATCAGTGGGGTCAATGGGAGCAGTGGGGTCAATGGGATCAGTGGGGTCAATGGGAGCAGTGGGATCAGTGGGATCAATGGGAGCAGTGGGATCAATGGGAGCAGTGGGAGCAGTGGGATCAATGGGAGCAGTGGGATCAGTGGGGTCAATGGGATCAGTGGGAGCAGTGGGATCAGTGGGGTCAATGGGAGCAGTGGGATCAATGGGAACAGTGGGATCAGTGGGATCACTGGGAGCAGCAGCACGTTAGGCTGCAGGCTCTGTGCCATGGAATGGAGGGTTGGGCACAGAGCTGATGAGCCTGGCATGGGTCATCAGGCACCTGCCAGCAGCTAAACCTGCACGGGGCAGTCTCCAGCCTCGGTGTGGGCAGGGTCCATCCCAGCCGTGGGCACCCACAGGAACAGTGGGGATGAGCCCCAAAGGAGGTGGGATGGAAAGCATTTATCCACAGAGCTGGAGCTGGTGAGGTGGATGGGTTGGATCCCCTATGAGTGGGTGGGCTGGAGCCCATGTGGGGTACTCGGAGCCCCTCACCTGTCCCCGGAATCCCCCTCCCAACCCTGCTGTATGATGTTCTAACCACACCTCCCTGGGACAGCCTGGCCTTTGCCCTTCCAGGCTCCAGTCTGGATGTAGCCTCAGCTCCATGCCAGCTCCCAAAACCAGCAGGTGACAATGCTGGAATAGCCCCAGCTGCTCTCCCTGGAGGGCTCTGAGCCCACTGCCCCCCATCTCCTGGGATCAGGGAGGCTGAATCCCCCCATGATATCCTTCCAGCTCCATCTCTAGGTGCTGCTGGCCTTTCCAAGCTAAGCAAAGGGGAACACCTGCCCTCCCAAGCTGGCTCCCCGTGTCCTCCCCACGCAGGGGCAGGACGGGCAGCAGGGACGGCGCTTTCAGCCGCTCGCTATTTTTAATTGCTCTTTCCCAGAAAGGCTGGTGCAGGCTCCTAAAGCTGCTTCCAGCTGGGAGTTTGGAAAGCTGGTTCCAGTTAGGCGCCCGGCGCTCGCTGCGCTCCGAGCTGTTATTTTTAGAAGGGCTGAAGGCAACAGCCCCACTCCCCAGGCTGCTGCTCGGCTCTGGCCAAGTTCCCTTGCCGGCAGGACCCTGCTGGACCCTTGGCTGGGGACATCCTGGTGGCGTCACTTTATGATTGCCCTTTTTTCTGGTGCTTTTTTGGCAGGGAAGGACTTTCATCTCCCCGTGTCAAGCTGTGCAGTCAGGAAGACCAAAGGCAGAGGATGTGAGCAGTGGTCATCCCTGAAGGGCCAGGGCGCAGAGCAGCATCTTCTGGTTTTAATTAAAAACCATCCGCTGGCAAAGTTTGATGGCGTGAGCGGTGCCTGGGCCAGGACAAGACCAGCAGGGAACATCTCGGGGGAGAGACCAGCACCGGGCCGGGGCTGCCCGGGGCACTGACAGAGCCTCTGCCCCGCGTCCGAGCTCCGCCCCACGCCTGGCTTCCGTCCTGCCTCTCTCCCCTGCTCCCTCCTGCCTCCTTCCCTCTCCCCAGGGACCGCAGTGCCGCTCTCTGCCATCACTTGGTCACGCCATCGATGGCCATGACCCCTTAGAGCTCTTCCCATGCTCAGCCTCGCTGAGGTTCCCCATGGCTGCCCAGTTTGGGTGGGGCAGAGGGCTGGGAGTGCCTCCCAGAGCAGATTATCTCAGAGGATAATATCCCGTTCACTCCCGGGCCCTGCCAGAGACCCCAGACATTTGCCACGGGCACTATCCCCTTCCAGTGACCCCCATCTCCCTTCCACGGGGCTCAGCCCATCCCTGTGACCCCCATCTCCCTGCCACGGGGCTCAGCCCATCCCTGTGACCCCCATCTCCCTGCCACGGGGCTCAGCCCATCCCTGTGAC